CTGAGAGGAGAAATTGCTTCTAATATCCAACCTGAATCTCTCCTGGCACAACTTAAAGCCATTACCACTTGTCCTAAAAAGGGAACTGTTATTATCCAGTGTAAGTATTTAAATACAAGTTTAAGATTCCATACTTTAAGAAAAGACATTGGAGAAGTAAAGAGCATTTGGAATAAATGTTGAAGTCTGGAAACTTTCCTTGCAGTGAGAGACCACAGAAACTCAGCCTGATTCATTTAAGAAAACCACTCAGATGTAATTCACTTCCACTTGTCAAATCCTTACATGCAACTGAGATGTCTTCTTACAGACATGAGTCTAGCAAAATGAAACCTTCCTAAAGGTATAATGAGCATGATGTTGAAGCTGAACAGATTCCATGCAGATAAACAAGGAAATGCTCTCACTTTCATGCCAGGTTGGTGGATTTCTCCCACCTCAGGCTCATGGATGGAGCTGAGCTGCCTTCTCCACGACTGATGGGCAGTAGCACCGAGCTGCAGAGATTATGAGCTTGAAAAAAGGGATGCTACTGAGGAAATGATTTGGACTTTGAAATAAATAACATAGAGGAGATGATTGTAATGGTCTGTCTTCGTCATAAATTTGAAGATTCTGGTTAAATGTTGAATTTTAACCTCTTAGTGACTTAAATCCTGCAGCAAGAACAGCCTAGTTTTTTATTATGGCCATATTTTTATTTTGTGATATCTCCATCTGCCTAACAGTAATATACGCTTTATGTCTCTAAATAAAAATAAGCAAGGGAGATTTTTGCAGCTTCTCTGAATGCTTGCTTTATTTGTGCTACTCATCAAAATAACAGCAACTATTTAAATGATATTGCCCTAAATCACCAGTTTTTAAAAGCACAAATACTCAAAATTTGCAACTAAAGCTTGGCAAGATCAATAATAACACAAAGAAAACTTTTATCTCGAAGGATTCTAGATATTTCATAAGCTAATAGAGAAAATATGTGGAGAAATCACTTCCAACTCTGCTACCGATGTAGCACAGATGGTGTAGAAAAGTGGGGTAAATCTCATTGAGACTAATCTATACAAACATATGCTTAATTAGCATAGTGCATCTCATACAGGGTAAAACAGAAGCAGACTGTATTGCAATAACTGATCACAGCATAAATTGGTTTATTTTGATCCCTCCTTGGGAGGCACCAACTAATTTTTTTATCGCGCAGATTTCACTGTAATGATGAATTAATTTCAGTTTGCTGGAAAATGAAAACAGAAGAGGGGAATATGGATGGCAAAAAAAAAAAAAAAAATCAGAAGAATGATCTCATTTATGCTGAATTTTATTCTTTTGGCTGATTCCACTGCCTTCAACAGACCCATTCACTACGCAGATTTAAGTGCATACACAAATCCTTGCTGGACTGAGGCCTGCCATTAATTCAGAAACAAAGCCATTGTCCCCCAGGCCTCCTCTCAATTACTCTTGTTTATTTAAGTCAATAAAGATAAACGGGTGTAAATCTCTCTGTAAACAAGGCTATTTCAGTTTAACATGGCTTACTTGGGGTTAGCATAAATGTGCTTGTAATCAACTTCAGTTAACCCAAACTGAAGGACGTAGGCAGAGGAATGGCGCCTTATTTGGGAGAATAGCAAATGATGGACGAACAACCTGAGAAAAAAAACAGAACTGGTGAGGACACAAAGCATGTCAGATCTGCACAGATCAGAGCGGAAAAGGAAAGAAATGCTATTTGCAATTGCTATGGGCAGCTGAAAGCAGCCAGGCCCTTGGTAGCAGGGTGAATCATAGAATCATAGAATCATGGAATCACTAAGGTTGGAAAGACCTACAAGATCCCCAAGCCCAACCCCAACATATGCCCGCTGACTATGTCCCCAGATGCCACATCTCCATGGTTCTGGGACACCTTCAGGGACAGTGACCCCATCACTTCCCTGGGCAGCCTGTGCCAGTGTTGACTGCTCTTTCAGAGAAGAAACTGTTTGCAATATCCAACATGAACCTCCCCTGGTGCAACTTAAGGCCAATAATTAAAGTGTTCTGAGTTCAAGCCGTGTAAGAAGTTCCTTGGTACTGGCTGACCACACCTACAGTTAGGCATAAAGCTGGGGCTTTGAAGCCAGGAGACTGCCATGATGTTGAGATGACCAAGTTTAAGGTATGCGTAATGCCTGTGATTGCATCTGAGCTACCAAGCCTTCGTAATTTTCCTCTATCATGACCTTACTGCCTTGACTGCATGGAATTCCTGACCCATTTCAGGGCAGAGTGAAACAACTAGGCACTGGCTGTTAGGATACATGGATATGTTAAGATAGTTTCATCATTTACTCATGAGAATTATACCATGCAAATAAAAATAGTGGCCTTCCAGTACCTCAAGGGGGCCTGCAGGAAAGCTGGGCTGGCACCTTTTATAAGGGCAGGTAGTGACAGGACAAGGGGAAATGGCTTTAAACTGGAAGAGGGTAGATTTAGACTAGATATCAGGAAGAAATTCTTTACTGTGAGTGTGGTGAGATGCTGGAACAGGTTGACCAGAAGGACTGTGGATGTCCACTCTCTGGAAGCACTCAAGGCCAGGCTGGATGTGAGTGACCTGGCTTTGACCAGGCTGTGAGCAACCTGGTCTAGAGGGAGGTGAGCTTGCCTACAGCAGGGAGTTGGAACTACATGTTCTTAGAGGTCCTTTTTAACCCAAACCATTCTATGATTCTATGATAAATACATAAATCTTCTGATTATGTTACAAATTTCTCCCAGGAGATGTCCATTCTAAAAACCATTGTCTAGCTCTATTACATCTGACAGATGCACTTTGTAACAGGAACACCAACCAGTTTGTACTCTGATAAAGTCAGAAATGTGTCTCCACTTTTAGTGTGTTATTTTACACTGATTATTTCTTAAGTCCACTGTGACAAGCTTACATAAGAGGCTATCAAGTTCTTCGCACTGCGTGTTCTTTTCATTGTTATGCTTTTTGCTTTTTTTTTGCTTTGCTCTGAAAACTTCTAAGAGCCTGATCTGAAACTAGAGTGATTTATATAGTATAGGAAACATACTTCTGCATTTTGGAAGAGGCAGTGAACAGGTTAGAGTTTCAACATTACAGACACTTTTCATTAGTAAAAAAGATAAAAAGAAGAGCAGGAAAATGAGATGTCCTTTTATGTACTTTGCTGTTGCTCCCAGCTTTAAGTCTTGGAGTTTTTTAAAGGAGGGAAAAGAACACTGCTCCTTTGCACATATTTAGTCTACTACATGCTGCTGTGAGTGAGAAGTTTCTGGAGAAGCAGCATTGCAGCCACTGATGTAAGAATCAAAGCTCTTATTGAAGGATCTGCTAGAGCTTCAATAGAGTGAGATGAAGAAATCTGGGAGCACTTCACAGTGCTCCTCCATGGACTCACAGTCATTTTCAGCATATGTTATTCCCTGTCTTGAGCATGCTGTCTGATCCTTTTGTACCCAAACTCTGTTTGGAGCTCTCCCTTTGTTATTTTCTGTAGAACAGATCATTTTGACACACTGCTAAGAACAACCTCAACACGGAAACTATCTGCCCTGTCTCCAAAGCCCTGCCTGCTTGGCAATACACTTCATGCTTTTCTTCATCTTCACGGTGATATCTGATAGTGTCTTGTCATTTAGAAATCCCAGGTGTCTTTGAACTTATCTGGTATCGGTTTTCTTTCTTGTATCCTTCAAGGGATTTACTCACAGCCTTTGGGAAGTCAACACACAGCACGGCGCAGCCGATCACCATTTCATCATGTTGCCTTTAGATCACAGATTACTCCCTTTGTTCTTTCTCCCCAGCAGGTGAAACAGTGGCTGGGAAGTAACCACGAGAATGTAATTCTTGGGAGTGTTGATCCCTGAGAGAACCCTTAGAGCCCTTCCTAGAGATGCTGATGCTCTTCCACCATGGGTTCAAATCTAACAGGGATTCGTATCTATCCACCTGCACCCCGCTGCTGATGTGCAAATCGTGCTGAGCAACACTGATTTACCAGCATCTAGCAACACCCAGCTTCAGCACGAGGGACTGGATATTGCCGTTTACTTTTACCAAAGGAGGCACTGCTCCTGCGGGTGCAGGTCTGTGTCTGGGAGTGCTTTCTGGGGCTGCTGAAGGAGCAGACACACACCTTGCCTGGCTTCTCCACAGCACCCACGCTCCTCAGGCAGCTTCTGGGCTCTGATGCTGTCTGCTTATTTTGCCTTTCCTGTCCTAAAGAAATGAGGCTCATGCAGCTCCTGTTTGTTTTTGCCAGGAGTCCCCCAGCATCGGCTTTTTTTTTTTTTTTTTTTTTTTAACCTATTGCAACCCAACCGGACAGAGATGCAGAGGCTCTGAAGAGACACCTGTCTGCAAAGTGGCTGCAGCAGAACAGGCGCGTTAGGGACCAACCGTGGGGAAAGGCAGAGAAGGCTCTGAGGAGACTCCGTGGGGCTGAGGGGCTCTGGGGGGTCTCGGCTGGGGCCTAAGGGGGTTCCGGAGGAGCCCTGGAGGGGTCTCGGCTGGGGTCCAAAGTGGGTTCTGGAGGGTCTCTGTGGAGGTTCTGAAGGGACGAGACCCCGCTTCTCCATCACCCACTCAAGGCCGCCGCAGCGGATCCCCACGGTACCACAGCGCCCCTCAGAGCGCTTGCGCACTACGCGACACACAAACTCTGCCCCTTCAACCGCCCCCAGAGGGCGCGCCGGCCGGAGAGTGACAGCTGGAGCAGCCAATGACGAACGCTGTTTTGCAGCGCCGCCGTGAGCCCTCCCACCCGGTTCCAGCCCTCCTCTCCTTGTTCTTTTTTTTTTTTTCCCCCCCCCCTCATCGCCGCTCCCATTGGCTGAACAGTCCGCCAATCGGCTTCGTGGAAGGGTCAAACCAATCCTGTCTCTTCTTTCTATCAGCCGCAGGTAGGTCGGCCAATAGGCCGTCTCCCCTCCCACCTCGGTGGGCGGAGCGTAGCAGTCACCAACAGGCACGGGAAGGGTGGGCGGGCAGCAGAGAGCGCTGAGGGAGGAGGTGGACGAACAGCGGCTCCGAGAGGAGAGGTCGGTGTGGGACGCTCCGGCCGAGAGGAGGACGGGACTGAGGGTCAGCGGGAGCGGCGGGGAGAGGCAGGAGAATCGCGGGGTATTCCGGGCGGCGGGGAGCAGCTGGTGCTGGCTGAACGGGCCTGGGCCCGGCGGGGGCCGCGCGGCGCCTTCTCCCCCTTTGTTGTGGTGGGGACGCGGCCGCGCTCGGGGCGGCGGGAGCGGGGAGGAGGGATGGGGGAGTCGGATCCAACGCGGGGAACAGCACGAACCCACACCGTGTGTTTGAGAGCTGTGCCTCCTTGAGCTCTGGCGGCCGTGCCCCTCTGGGGAAGGACCTTTCATCACGCCCCTCTGCTTGTGCACGGGCGCTGCGATGCTCCTGTGAGAGCGGCGTGGCAGCTCTGTCTGTGCTATCTTTTGTTTCTTTTTGTTGTTTTGGACGGGAAGAGGGAGTGCCTCGGTGCGGTCTTTCAGCCTTTGCATTGGGGAAATAAAAGAGCCCTTGTGGCACCCGACAGCCCTGGAGAGCCGTTGGGTTCAACGGGCTGCAGCTTGGTTTTTGTGTGTTGGTTGGGTGTCATGATCATTGATTAAAGAAGCCATGTATGTTGTGCTCCCTTTCAAATCCCTTTACATTAAGTAGGTAGTTTTAAGGAAAAGTTGTGTTTTCTGGATCCGCTGCAGGAAAAATTTCTGAAAGTGCTGCGCCTGGTCACAGGTGAGTAACTTCCATCTGCACAGAGAAGTTAGTAATGACAACTTACGAGGAGCCCACACCTAACAGCAGGTTTGTCTGTCCGTAAGTGTTCCACGCTTAGCCTGGAGAGCTGCGCTTTCAGCCTGATTCACAGCGTTACTTTTGTGGGGTTGGAGTGTGCAGTGAGGCTGATGAGTCTTTTCTCTGTTCTCCAGACTGGAAGAACCTCCTGTTGTTAAGTCGAAAGGCTTATCTAACGGAACGCAGTTGCTGTTTAGACTTTAAGAAGCGTTATCACAGTGTTGGAGCCGTGGTTGCATGGTACATGAGTAGCTTTATTGTTTGATGGCTTTAAAACCTCAGTGTTCACAAACTCCAGTGAATTACGGGGGAATGAGAATATAAATAGAGAAAGGTTTGAAGTTTGCAGTTGCTTCTCCCTGCCTCGCTCCATTTGCTTAGCACTATCTTGGTGGAAGATAGCATTGATTATCAGTGCCTTTAAAAGAGGAGTGGGGGAGGATTGCACTAAGAGTGGCTCAAACTTCAGTGTGTTCTTAGCATCACCTTTAACAGTAATTTGGAGTGTTTAATGACTTGTTAGAGAATTGGTCTGTAATCGCGTGGTTCAGGATTGGACTGCACTGACAGTCACCAAAATGAGCAGGAGTGCAGGTTCAGTTTTCTTTATGGAAGAATATGGCCACGCGTAATACGGTTTCAGAGAAAAGTTGTCAATGTTCCCGAGGTTTGTTTGATCATAGTAATAATAATTCCCTCCCTTTCCCCCCCAAAATAAAGCACATCTGGAAAAAAGTGAATTTAAAAAAATTGATCTCTTAACTGATCTCTTTTCCCCTCCTAGAAACCAGGGGCATGAGCAAGATCAGATGAGTTTGGATCACAGCGTATCTCTAAATGCAAAGCCCTGCTTGGGTGCTCCTTCACCTTCCTGTTCCACTTGATCTTTCAGAAGTGTTGAGCACTGGTTGATGTAATTGAGTGTATTGGAGCTTAGAAATCTCTGCTGCTGAGTGCAGATTTAAAAACAAAACTTGTCTCCATCTGTCTAATCTCCTTCCCACAATCGTACTGGGAGAACAGGCTTGGTAGTACGTTCTGGCTAACAAAGAATATGAATTATGGTTGAGACTGAAGAAAACTCCCAAGTTTTCTTTCTATAAAGAGCAGCACACAGAGTTTTAATTATTATAAAAGTATTCTAGATTTTTTCAAATGTACTCAACGCTGCCTTAATGACTGTGCATGTAAATGCCCTGTAATTGAAAGCAGCCATTTATGGGCCTGACTTGCTAAGTGAGCTGTAAATTCTGCTTTTCAGATTGGATTTAATGACTTTTATCATAAAGCCACAAACTGGTTGTGAGCTGTGCCGAGAGGCAAACAATACCTAAGCTTACTTTGCCAAAATATTTGTAATTGTGGATTTGTTAAACTGAATTGCTGCAGGTCATGCGATGGGATTAGTTTTTTGTAATAGAATGGGGAGTGCAGGCAGTGCTGTGCTCAATACTCTCTGGGCTAGAAGAAATTGGTGACCACAGAAAATCTTGCTAAACGTTGCTTTCAACTTCCTGCAGTGCTGCTGGATTACAGAGAGGAAGACTTTGTTCCAGATGACTTTTTATTGTGATTAAGTGTGTTTGACAGCAAGAGTGTGAAGGGAGACCAAAAGAGACTGTGAGAGAGCAGCTCCTGGGTCTGCTATCAGTGTAGTCCGGGGCTTGAGCTTGATTTAATTAAGCTGGAGCAAGATGAGCTTAATGGAAGACACTCTTCAAGCTTTGCCCGTGGTGGAGGAAGGGGAGTTTGAAGAAGTTGGGAATCTGTTAAGTTATGCAGATAGAAGCTGACACAGGCACCCAAGTACCTGCTAATCAGTTCTGGGACTGCTCCTTTCAGATTTACCCAGCAGCATTTCCTTTCTAACCTAATGGAACTGACTCTTGCCTGTTACACATGGAAAATTTTAATCAAAACAAATTAGGTGAGAAGAGCTTAAACTGCTGTGGTTTGGAATGCTCATTTGGTGCTTTTGTGGCTCTGCTGAGGTCTTCCAGTATTAAGGAGCAATGCTGTGAGTTCATAAATACTAAGTATGTGGGAAAAGCATGCTGCTTTGCAGACAGGTGAATTGGCTGCCTGCAGGTGTGGTACACTTTCCAGGCTTCTAAGAGAATGGCTAAGATATATTACTCTTATAATTATCTCAATCAGAGGTCAGTAAAATTAACGTCTTCTTTCTCGTATTTCTGGTTGCATGCAGTTTAGTGTCACTGGGTGAATGTGTTGCTTTCAGTCTGTTAGTTTTCTTCTAACAGTTTTTTCATTACTTTTTGAGTACTACTTAGTAACTGGAGAAAAATTCAACTTCTGAAGCTTTCCTCTTGTCATGTTGGTGCTTATTTTGGTTCTGCACGTAAGAGATGTGAGTTTTCTCATTTGATTCGTAATCAAACTTTGTGAAATGCGTGAGAGGAAATATGTCTATGCTCAAAGTAGATGTCTAATTCTCAATGAGCTACACAGAGGAAAAAGTTGTTACGCAAAGTTTCAAGATCCCCTTGAGCATAATAAACTTCAAAATCAGTGTGCAAATTGAGTCTATATAACGGCATGTTGCAAAATCCTCCTTCTAAGGTTGTCCTGGAGAAGGAATTCTCTTTGCTGCTGGTCCCCTGGATCACAGGCCTGCCTTGAGCTCCAGCAGCAAATGCAGGAGCTGAGTTTGGAGCTTGGCTTTGCCAATGAAGCTGTGGCCAGATGGAGCCCCTGGGGACAGTGTTTCCAAGCCCTCCTCTCAGCTGGGTAGTTGGCTGCGGGGCTCAGCTGGGGGTGAACCATGGCACAGGGCTGGATTTTTCTCCCAGCTCTCTGCCACCGTCGGCCCCACAGCAACAAACTCCAGCATCCTAAGCACAGGAAAGGAAGGAAACACTTGAAGCTGTCCTATCCCAGCCTGAATGTAGGGAGAGAAGGAGGTGCCTCACCTGAGTTCTGTGCGTGGTTGTTCTTCAGAAACCTGTGTGTGAACAGCAGGCTTGAGCTTCTCCAGATGATAAAAGAGGTATCTAACACACCTTTGTAGGGTAAGAAGTAGCCCCCATTGGGACTCAGGGCGTGATTTGGAGGGTGCAGGAGAAGAAGTGAAATGTCCCCTCTTGTCCATTCCTCTAAGTTCTGTAAATACAACATATTCCTTCTGCAGGGAGAAAGAGCTTTTAGTTACAGTGTGCAGAATTCAGGTTTCCTGCAGGGTGTGATAGTTAGCACTGGGGAAATTCGTTTCAGGTTCAGCTGTCTTGTTATTTGGAATAGCACAGCTTAAAGATTCCAGAAGCACGCCATAAATTCTGTTATGTTTCAGTTTAGTACAAGATGAAATGCTGCATCTTTTCTTAAAGTTTCACAGTCTTAATGACTTTGCATTGGTGTAGGTGACATGGAATACTACATATGCTATAGATCTTAAAGCTTTATCTCTCAGTGCTGTTTGGCATAATGTAAGATCTTGCTACTGCCTTAAACAGATGATGCTAGAATTAATATCTTTATTGTGAAGGAATTATCATAGGGAGGCATGTGGAGGAGAAAGGTGGATATTCCCTCTTCTTCTGAGATATGTGAAACGTTGTGCGCTGGGTGAAATTGGTATAGAATCTTGTCCAAATTCCAGGATTAATGAAAAAAAAAGAACCTTTTATATCACAAAATAGGTCTGAAACTGGGAAGAAATAAAGTTTTAGACTCTCTTAAATGCCACAAAAAGGTTTTCCTTGATTCTCCTTTAGCTTCTGTCCTCTTTATTGCAGAAGAGCACTTGAAAATGAAGTTATTCTCAGCCAGGTTGCATAGAATAAAACCAGGAGAGATCAGATTTCTTGATTTCAGATTTAAGATGAATGAACTGGTATGAAATACACTGCATAAGGCTTTACAGTAATTATCCAGAAGCCACTTGATATTTTTGCTTATGTGTATACCAGACACTCAGGAAGGGGAAACTTCCCTTGAAGATTTCAGTCTGCCTGCATGCTGCCCTGAAGTTTTCCTTCATATTTTACGCTTAGTTATTGCTGGGATCATAGGCTTAATATTTAATCCCCGTTCCAGAGAACCACAGCAGAATTGAATAATAGCAGACATGATTCAAACTGCAACTTTAGAAGTTGCCAGCGATCACACTGTTTGACCAACTATAGAAACGTGTGCATGAGGAAGCGGAATATACTGCGGGGGTAGAGATGGAGCATACCACCACCATTAGGCAATCTGCGAGTTTTCCAGCTATAATCTGTTGGATGTAACAGCACGTGTTCCCTGTGTGCCAGCAGTTCTGACACTGGTAGCCCTCTTTCAAACCCTTGAGTACTCGGAGCTGCAGTTTTAAGGCACAATCTGGCAAATGTGGTAGGGATTGAAGTAGTGACAGCTTTCTGCTCCGTGTCACAGTTCTGCTGCCTTCCTATGGACGTGCTCTATGGTGCCTTTCTTGTGATGAGAGGCTCAACATGGAACAGAGCACTGAGGTATGGCCTCACCTGTGCTGAGTACAGAGGGATGGCCACCTCCATGCTTCTGCTGGCAGCGCTGTTTCTGATACAAGCCAGGATGCTATTGGTCTTCTGGGCCACCTGAGCACACTGCTGGCTTGTGTTCAGCTGAGCATCAACCAACACCCCCAGGTCCTTCTCCTCCACACAGCCTTCCAGCTGCTCTGCCACAAGCCTGGAGTGATGCGTGGGGTTGTTGTGGCCAAAGAGCAGGACCTGGCACTTGGTCTCGGTGAAGCTCATCTTGTTGGCCCCATAGGCCAGCTATCCAGCCTGTCCAGATCATTCTGTAGGGCCTTCCTAGCCCCAGGCAGATCAGCGCTTCCTCCAACTTGGTGTAATCTGCACACTTCCTTAGGGTGCACTCAGTCCCCTCCTTTGGTTAATCAATGGAGTTGTTAAGCAGGATTGCCTCACTACTGACCCCTGGGGAGCACTGCTCATGGCTAGTTGCCAGCTGGATGTATCTCTGTTCATCACCATTCTCTGGATGGTAGTGGAAACAGTAAACAGGCAGGAAAAACGATTTTCTGCTTTTGGGACAGAGCACTAAGCTAGATGCACTGACTTCTGTCATGTTAGGGTTTTTCTTAATTACTTTATTGCTGCTTTTTCCTTGCATGATTGAGGTTTGTACTTTGCTGTGCCTCCTGTAGGCATGGAGAAGTGTGTAACTTCTGCATATGTTAAGCTGGCTGAAAGATTGTCCTGTGTGTATTCATCACAGTTGGCTGCAGCGTTAAGGTGAACAAAATCCTGTCCTACTTGTGTCACGTTCTCTTTGCTCACCCTTTGGAAGAAATGAGATTGCTGCTGGAGTAGCTTGTTGAAATGCCTACTGATAGAACTGGCAAATCCATGACATGGCGTAACCATGGCTAGAAGAGCAGTCAGAGCCTCCCAGAATCACACTTACTCTGCAGCCATGGCATATACATTGTTTTCTTAAATCATGTGTCCTCCTATTTAAAAATAAATTGTTTTAATGTAAATATGACCGCGGGACTAACAGATAAACTGTGCTTTATGAAAGCATCTATGAAAACTAGTAAATGTGTAAGGGAAGTGGTAGAAGTCAGGTAAAGAATCTGAAAATTCTGATTAGTTAGGGTTGAACTGTCAGTCTTATGGAAATGGGGAGAGGAGGATTTTTGCCTCAGACTATCTGGAAAATGTGAGAGTTCAAATGTAAACCAAGTCTGAGATGCACGGGCTTTCTGCATGTAGTCTATTTCAAGACTTAATCAACGTGCATTTGAGGCAGAAACACAAATAGTGGTCTGTATTTAAAAAAAAAAAAAAAAAAAAAGCACCAGAAATTGTATATAGATATCAGTGTTATCTCAAGGGAGAGAATACAGCAAGCTTGGACGCATCCTCTCGGGGGTGTTGTAAAGCTGAAAATAGATAAAAGGACAGAGAATGTTTAGAAGGTTTGAAAGAATAGGCAATTCAACATCTTGGTAAGTGAGACTGCTGAAGTGCCTACTTTATAATGCTGATAATCAGGGCAGTTGAAAGGTGACAAATCAGAAGCTGAAGAGTTGGTGATGTCTGTATTATATGTTAGTGAGCTGCATAAACTTGGGAAGAACGGGTGTGTGGATGAGCAGTGATGGAGGTGTTCGGTTGGGGATGTCTGTCAGTATTGGCTTCCAGGGAATACGTAACTTGAGTGTCCTGCTTAGCACTGGATTGAAGACGTTAGCTGTTGAGATTGTTTCAGTAGTTTGCTGTAGCTGGGGCTCCAGTACAACGCTTCTGCAGTTTGCAAAATGTGACCTCCAGCCTGACTTACTGGCCACAATTCTGTAATAATTTAACACCACTGAAAGAACAGTTCTTCTCATGCTGTGGTCTTATGTGAAGGTGAAACCTTTCATGTAGGATAGATGAGTTATTATTTAAAGCTGCCTGTGGAATATAACCCAGCTTTTGTTGACCTGTTGGTTCTCATTGAAATTGTGGAGGTGTGATGAAGCAAAAATCAGCCAGGAATACCATAACCTGAAGTGTCCCAAATGAACCATTGCTCTTTTGCAGATGAGAAACCTTACAAGGTGAGGTATATTTTGGATAGAAGGGAGGAGCGTGCCTGCACAGTATGCACATAAGCTGCCTAGAAAGCTCTGATTGTGTAGCTTGAAGGTAACACTTTGTACTTGGCTCAACAAGGTACTAACTATTACAACTTAGAGTGCTGAAGTTTGACAGCACAGTAAGTTTGTGGAATTCAGATATCCAGTTCCTGCCTGGAAATAAGACTAGTTCTGACTTCAATGCAGTGCTTCTGTCTGTAGATGATGCTGTCCTCAAACAAGCTCCAATAGCTGTCTGCTTAAAATGATACAGCTGATTTGGGGCTTGTATTTTAATTCCTGGAAGTAGCCTGATACAAACTGTAAAACTAGGAAGTGTGTGTGTATGTATGTGTGTATATATATATATATATATATATATATATATATATATACATATATGTAAAAAACTGGCTATCATTTCTTCCAATCCGTTTGAAGTACAAATAGAGACGAATGCCAGACACAGCTCAAGATTCAGCATCCCTCCTGATGTTTTATGTGTCCCGACTGGGGTAGTTGATATCAAATGCAAGGGTGTCAGAATTCAAAACAAACACAACTGCGCCACTCAGGTAGCTACAAAATGAGACTTTAAATATTCTTTAATGGATTTTTGAAAGAGTTGATGATTTAAATTAGTGACATCTTGGAAGGTTGATTATCTGTCAGCTGTTGAGTTGTAAATTAGAGCCACGGAGTAAGCTCATCATCAAAATTTAAAGTGAATTTCAGATCCGCCTTCTGAACTATTACCTGAATTGTTTGGAGGTGGCGTGTCCTACAGCATTTGTTAATGGAAGATCCCAAGCAAGGAATGTTCTCAAGTAAAACCTCGGTGCTAATGTGTCTGTTTCGGTTTGCGTTTTTAGGGATCAGACAGAAATCTCTAACTGTGCTGAGCGTTCTGTCTGGTGGGAATCATGTCATCCATACTGCCATTCACTCCACCGGTCGTGAAGAGACTTCTTGGGTGGAAAAAATCTGCTGGTGGTTCCGGAGGGGCCAGCGGTGAGCAGAATGGGCAGGAGGAGAAGTGGTGTGAAAAAGCAGTGAAAAGCTTGGTCAAGAAGCTAAAGAAAACAGGACAGCTGGATGAGCTTGAGAAGGCCATTACCACTCAGAACTGCAATACCAAGTGTGTGACCATACCAAGGTAAGTCCTGTTGCATTCAACATTCCTTACAGCCACTTAAGGAGTGACTAAATGGATGTTAATTTGTGTGAACAAATCAATAACAGAATCAGTTGCATGCCTTTGATTCTTTAAAAGTTCTTTAAAACCTGTTTTGGTTTTATGTACTGCTTGCTTCAGTTCTTAGAACTGAATCACATGCTTTGTACATTCACAATTTCTTGTAAGTTTACAATTCAGTTTTTATTACTAACTGGATTCCAGTTTGTGAACGTTCTGGTGGTGCCTAGCGCAGCTCTTAGCTCGTAACACTGCCATATGCTTTTATTTTATAACTCTCTCTGTATTTGGAGGGGCTTATTTGAACTCGCACTTCCACATTAAACAAAAAAAGACTAGTTTTTCCTTGGTCAACACTTCAGTCCTCTCAATTATTATTTTCAGTTGTGTATGGAAGTTTTGTTGAAGTTTTGCAAACTGCATCCATTTTCCCATTTGAAGGGAAACGTCAGTGGAAGCAGTTTTTCTGAAGACTTATTACTATTTGTTATTGGTTAATGAAAATGCTTTTCATTTAATAACTTAAGAGTACTTCTAGATCTTCTCTTCTGCTCCTTATATGCATGTATATTTAGGTAAACAGCTCGCATTCTACCCCTTTGACTTTCTCAATTCATTGCAATTGCTGTGCGAGGGGCAAGGGTCGTGTTTGTGAAGTGTATCTCCAGGTTCATGTTGTAGGGAATCGCACTGATGGTGCGTGTGTAAGCTCTTCAGGGCTGCGACATGAACCTCAAATCACTCTGTGGTTTGTTTCTATGAAAATGCAAGGAAGTCTGGTGACAGGAATATTTTGGGCGTTGAGCCCCCTGACACTTAGAATTAGTTTCTAAGAGAGAGAAACTGCATATTTTACGACCTTCATTTCTGTATTATTAGCACACTGATCCCAGCTACTTTTAAGCTTTGTGTTAATCATAGTTGCATTTACATTCAACTGATGTCAGTCATGGTTGCCACTTATCGAATGTGTTACGGCTGTTACCTGATCATGGTCTTAGCATTACCCTGTATTTGACATAGCCTTTTCTGTAATCCATACACATAGCTGCTTTCATTCTGCCATCCATTTTCTGTTCATCTTTTGTTTCTAATGTTGCCTCCCGCCTGCATTTTCTTTCCAAGCTGTCCCCAAATTTTCTGGGTTTCTCATCTTCTTTGTATAGTCTCCTTATTGTGATGGGCATTTCTGGCTGGATTGAGATGTTCTGTTCTCATCTATCTTTGGGTCAGCTGAAGGAGAGCTCACCTACATCTTACTTTTCTCGACTGTTGTATAAGTAAACTGGTAGCTGGAGCTCTCTGGGTAGTGTTGGCATAAGGTTTGGTTTTAAACTAATGGCTTTGGTGCTAACAGGCAAGATGATATCAGTACACAGACTTCATTTTCATAGCTGGCTTTTGGACTGTTGCTGTTATTTCACTTTACGGCAGTAGTCTGGGCTCCCAGGGAAGACCAAATGTCAGCTCAGTGCTGTAGCGACTTCTGGAGTTTTTTGTTTTTGGATTCAGTAAGCTAATAAAACTGCTGCTTGAGACCCATTCCAATGAATTTCTTAAAGATCTGCAGATCAGCATGGGTGAACAACAAAGGGTTGACTTAGAAACATCTCGCCCACAGCGAAGGAACAAAAAGTTTGGGGTGCTCAGTTGCTGAGGCGCACATCCATCATGAGTGCAGGTTTGTTTGTTTTGTTGTTGCTGGTTTTTGACCAGTTTTAGATTCAGTTTTGATAACTGCTTAACTCAGGATATCGGCAAGTGCTGTGAGATGCCCCTTTGTGGAGCTGTTGCTTTACAACATCACTAGAAGTTTCACTTGTGGTTTCAAAAGCTGCTGGTCCCATTGCGAATTTCCATAGTTTGTTAAAAATGATTAATTGTAGTGTACTTTTTTTTCATCTCAAAACTGAGAGTGGCTTGGATGGAACTGAGTAAAGCTTGCCCTTTGGAAATCTGCATACGCACAGCTTTTGATAATCCCGTTGCGTTGTTCTGTTTCTGTTTGTCAAGGTGACCACACAGAAAGTGGGGCTGATGCTGTGTGAGCTACCCAAACTGCTCGTGTGAGTTACCACAACTTCTTATGCAGACAAATCGAGGTTCTGAGAAAGCAGAAGCAAACAGATGGAGTGGGTGTTGGCATCACGCAGCAGGGATGCTGAGCTCCTCAGAAGTGGGTCAGTAATCTAGAGCAGAGGCTAAATAAGTACAGAGGTCCATTTCACACCAGCCCTTGAAGTAATTTGGAGTTATCTTGCTGAATCCTCCCGGAAAGCCAGTGGGATTCTAATCTCATAATCCTTAGGTATCCTTAAACTAAATGTGGAGACTTGAGTTCACTTTGATACAGTATGTAATGAATTCAGGTGCGTTTAAGATCATGTCTTTATGCTCTCCCCTGCAGTTCCGATATAAATAGAGCACAAGAAACAAGTCAGTGAAGAAACATTTTATGTAAGACTTCTATTGGAGTAGCTACTTCCTCACTAGCATGGATAGAAATGAGTAGTTTGTAAATAACGTTAATTAAAACCTGCATCCTTAACAGACCAAACCACACCATGCAGTGCAGAGCTAGCTAGCATGTTCATAGCCTGTGTCCATGGTTTAAGAAGTTGTTGCAGTGGTGACAGAACGTTTGTGCTCAAGGTAGGGAAAAATAAATCTCTGGTTTCAGTATTTTTGACTGTATCAGCTGTGTGGCTCTCCTGTCTTGAAATACAGCAATGGTTCTGCAAACGAATTCCATCCTGTGTTGTGCACAGTCTGCATGAGGCAGCGTTGGACTGAGGTACATGGTGTCATAGAGTGTAGGCACTCTTTCTGTTCCAGTATACGTGGGAGGATAAGGAAGGGCTGGGTGCCTTCCATCAGTCTCAGCATCTGCAGCCTTCATTCATTTCAGCTTTGCATAATGAATAGGGCTTCCATGCGTGCCCTGACAAGGTGACTGCTAACTGGGAGGAAGGAGCAGCTGAAAGGTGTCTGTAGCAGTATACTTCTGTTTCTATTCCAGATGCTGTGTCCTCGTGTCAGTACTCTAGGAAGGTTTCATATTTCATATAGTTGAAGACTTTCTCCTTGAACAGACACAATTTTTGTTGGTCTTAATGCTAGTGGTTATATTAGAACTACTACGTACATTTGCTGTTGTTACTGTGCTTGGAACTTAGCATTGAGTTTTCTTTGTGATGGGGAGGTTGAGTCTCTACAGAGGTGGTAAATCTTACCACTGCTTTTTAGTAATCTGTGGCTCAAAAGATTGGATTGGATGTGTTGAGACATGATCTGCTGGAGTACTGGCTGAAGGAAGGCTTTAAGACCAAGTTTCCTTAAGTCCCAGTTTAGGGATTTTTTTTTTGCTGCGGTGCTTTAGAGTCCAGAGTGAAATGAGCAGCTGCTCTCTGTGCAGAGAGGAGTCTGACCCTCTTGCAGGCCCTTGTTTTCCTGCCTCCTGCGCCATTAGAGTTTGGGAAGGTGCTCTCTGGGAAATGGTTGCTTTTACTTCAGTTCAGTATGAATATGGAAAATGTCTTATCTCTGCCCTCTGCCCTTCTTGCTTCACATGAGGGATAGCATCTCTGTGCTGTTTCCTGATTTTCAGACACTTATTGTTACTTGCTTTTCAGCAGCCTCTCAAATGAAAAAATCAGAGAGGCTCAAATCCTGCTGTTGTTTGGGTTTGGTTTGTTGTTTTTTGTTTTTTTTTTTTTTGAAAGGCTATAGCTGAATTGTGGAATTTGTAGTCAGTAGTGAATTCCATGCTTTTACCATTCAGAGGCAGAGGAGAAATCCAACAACAGACTCCATCATTTTGGAAATATAGAAGATTTCGAGGAAGCGCTGGGTAAAATACAAAGCAGATAACTGCTGGTGAATTGTTTGCTTTGAGTTGAGATTACAAGCTGCCTACTGACCAGTTCCTTAACTTTGTTGTATTTCCAATGTATTCTGAAAGGACTGAGACGCTTAAAGCTGTATAATCTGGTGAAAGTTCACCAATCACCTAGAGGCAAGATCACGTGCCATGGTCCGAATTCTCCAAAGCAACAAGGAATTTCTCAAGCATGCCAGTGTTGTTCCGTTGTTTGCTTGCCCTGCAGCACTCTTCATCTTCTGCAATGAGTTAGCAGTATGGCTAAGATAAGTAGCTTAGGCACAGCATATTGTGTTCTGAAAGTTGGCTCTTGTGTTACTTAACATAGCCTCCGTGCGTGTAGCTAAATAATGCTAATGAAGTGTTTACAAAAGAGTTAGCAGCAGAAGTAAACTAGGCAAATAAAGGCATTTGTAATGATGGGACCAAGTCGAATGCTCGTGAGCAAGCATATTTTAAAATGCTGAGATTTGGTTGTCTTTTTCTTCATACATTAAAAGTAAATGGTAGTTTAGGTATAAAGCTCACTGTTTTTATTTAACATAACCTGTGCTACCAGTTACTTTTTTTTTTTTTTTAATTCCTTGGGAATGTTTGTTGGGAAAGAGCTCAGACAGCTGCATGCAGTCACTTAGTTTTCATGATGCCTTTGATTATCAGTAGAACAGAGCTGTTGAACTTACCTGTCTTCTAGAACAGATTGCTTCTGAGCTTTTAATATTTTTCCCCAAAATACAGTACTACAGAGAAATAAATTTCTATGTTCCTTCTCAGATTAAAGCTATAGAATATGAGTGATTTCAACAGTCCCCCTGGGAGGGGGCAAAAGGTCCCTCTGAAAATGCTTTTAGAATTCCAACATCTGCTGTGAAGCTGTGAGGACAGCAGCAGGCAGTTGGATTGGCACAGCAGATCCTAAAATAACACTGCTATCCAGACAGAGGTGAAGTGTGTTTTCCCAGAAACACAACTTGGCAGCATCTGTTGGATTGTAGCTGTGATAATTCACTACTGGAGTTGGGGACGGAAATTAATTTTTAATCATAGCTCACAAACTGAGAACTGCTCTGGATAAAGAATG